AGCTACTTTATTGAATTTGGTTATTAAGCCTAGAAGACTTTTGGTGGAGTTCTTGGGGTCTTCTCTATAGAGTATCATGTCATCTGCAAATAATGACAGTTTTCCTCAGCCCTGGGAGGGCACAGCAAGAAGGCACCATCTGGAAAGCAGAAAGGTAACCCTCATCAAACTGATATCTGCTGATGTTTAGCCTCAGACTTACTCTCTGGAACAATTATAAGCACACCACAGAGACTCACCAGTTCAGGAAGTGTTCTGATCGGCCGCCCATATACTCCTGCACCAGCAGTGGTCACTCAGCCACACATAGCAGAAGGAACTAGGTGGGTTCCTGGTGATAGAAAACAGGCTAGGGAATTTATAGAATCTGATTTTTCAGAACGTAAGTGAAGCAAAAAAGGAGATAAAAATGAAAAAAGATTGAGACATTTTTCAATGAAAGTGTGTGAAAAAGTTCAGTGGAAAGGTACAACATCATATAATGAAGTAGCTGAAGAACTGGTATCACAGTTCACCAATTCAAATAATCATTTGGCAGCTGATTCACAGGCTTATGATCAGAAGAACATTAGGAGAAGAGTTTATGATGCTTTAAATGTGCTAATGGCAATGAAGATAATGTCAAAGGAAAAAAAAGAAAGCAAGTGGATTGGTCTGCCTACCAATTCTGCTCGGGAATGTCAAAATCTGGAGATAGAGAAGCAGAGGTGGATAGAATGGATAAAGCAGAAGTGGGCCCAGCTGCAAGAACTTCTCCTACAGCAAATTGCTTTCAAAAACCTGGTACGGAGAAATCCACAAAATGAACAGCAAAACCAGGGCCCCCCAGCGCTCAACTCCACCATTCAGCTGCCATTTATAATCATCAATATCAGCAGAAAGATGGTGATAGATTGCAGCATCTCCAGTGATAAGTTTGAATATCTTTTTTTTTTTTTTTTTTGGCACCGGGGATCGAAGTCGAGTCCTTGTGCTTGCAAGGCAGGTGGTGAAACCACTGAGCTAAATCCCTGGCCCTAGTTTGAATATCTTTTTAATTTTGACAACACCTTTGAGATTCACGATGACATAGAAGTACTGAAAGGGATGGGGATGTCCTTTGGCCTGGAGTCAGGCAAATACTCTCCGGAGGACCTGAAACTGGCTAAATTGGTGGTGCCAAAGGCTTTAGAAAGTTACATCACAGATATCTCCACAGGACCTTCTTGGTTAAATCAAGGACTACTTTTGAACTCTGCCCAAGCAGCATCAAATTTAGACTTGACCACGGGTGCAACCTTACCCCAATCAAGTGTAAACCAAGGGTTATGCTTGGAAGCTGAAGTGGCCTTAGCAACCGGGCAGTTCCTTGCCCCAAACAGTCACCAGTCCAGCAGTGCGGCCTCTCACTGCTCTGAGTCCTGAGGTGAGATCTCCTGCTCCTTCAATGGTGAAGACGAGGAAGATGATGAGGATGATTCCTCCTCTCCAAGATAAAGACAAAAGGCACGTTTCAATAAAAAAAATGACAATTTGACTTCTTCATTTCCTATCTTTATTCCTTTTATTTCTTTGTCTTATCTAATTCCCGTGGCTAATGTTTCCAAAAGTCTATTGAACAGGAGTGGTGATAGTGGACATCCTTGTCTTGTTCCTGACTTTAGTGTGAAGGATTTCAGTTTTTGACCATTTAGTATGATATTGGCTGTTGGTTTTTCCTAGATG